GGATGAGCCCCCCGGGGCTGGGGGGCAGGACCCAGTCACAAAGGTGGGATCTGAGCCCCCCAGGAGATGGAAAAGGGGTCCAGGGTCACTTGGAGCAGGGACAACACAGCTCCAGGACACTGGATTTGGGCTCCAGGGACAGAAAGGGGGGGGTGGGTCACTTGGAGCAGGGACATCACAGTTCCAGGATTCTGGATTTGGGTTCCAGGACACTGGATTAGGGCTCCAGGGTCACTTGGAGCAGGGACAAAGCTCCAGGATTCTGGATTTGGGTTTCAGGGTCACTTGGAGCAGAGACAACACAGCTCCAGGACTCTGGATTTGGGCTCCAGGGACAAAAAAGGGGTGGTGGGCCCTCCTGAGGTGGCAGAGGGGTGAGTGCCCACCTTGCCTCCACATCCCAGTGGGAAGGGCGGCTCTGAGGTCCCTTCACTGCTGTGGGAGGGTCGGTGAGCCCCCAAAACAGGGCCTGGGCACCCCCAGGATGGAGACAACAGTGTCCTGTGCTTCCCACCACATCCTGGGAGCAGGGCTGGGACACACACCGGGCTGGCTGGATGCTGGGATTGGGCACAGAGGCTTCCCACAGGATCCCTGCTCCAGGGAAACCCCCTTCCCACGGGAGCAGCTCCTCCGTGTGTCAGCAGCGGGTCAGGATTTGGGAACAGCAGCTGGCCTGGAATTCCCTGGGCCCAGGCTGTGCTTCCAGCTCCACCTGGGGCTCCAGGGGCAGCTGCTGCCATCCAGGAACATCCCCATCCTGCCCAGGTGGCTCCTCAGTCCTCGCTGTCCTCGCTGTCTGAGTAGGCCCCCAACAAGCTGAGGGAGGACGTGGAGGTGCTGGTCGGGGTGGGAATCGAGCCTGGAAGAGCAGGGAGAGAGGGAAGACCATCAGGGACAGCCCCCTGGAGCCTGGGAGAGGGCAGAGACCAGCAGGGACAGCCCCCCCATGGCAAATCCCACCAGCCTGCTTGGCCTCATCCCAGAGGCTCCATCCAGGGACTGACCCCAGGCCTGATCCTGATGGGAATGACAGGGATAAATCAGGTGGACACGGAGCCCCCACACCCCTCAACGTTGGCCCAAGGTCTGTGAACCCCCTTCTCTCTCCACAGCCCCCCACCAAAGGAGATTCCAGCCACTGGAAAAGGGGGATCAGGGCCAGCTCTTGGCTCCCACCACTCCAGCTGAGA